GTAATTTGATGCATTAGGCTGTACTTGCGTGTGGGATGCATTCGATACATTCACACATCACTTCATTTCACATCCACGCCACGCAGAAATTAGCCTCCCATTGTGTCTGTGACGTATTACAACAATATCATCTACTCAGTCTTTGTGTACTCGGTTAATTGGTCCTTGGGCTGTTCAAGCTGCGGTTGCTCGAAGAAATTAATTGGTCGTTACAGGAAAAAGAGAGAGATCAAGATTTTTTCTAGTCATTTTATACTTAATTAAAGTTGATGCCTGAATGACGTCGAACAACTTAACCGTAATAATCTACTCTCGATAATAATTTTATTTTATGTACTGCATAAACGTAATCAGTTCACAGAGAATTGATAACAATATGGTAAACGTTGGTAATGAATAGTAGAAACAAGAGACTTGTTCCTTTGGAAGATTGTACTTTTTGGAAAATTTTCCGACTGCCATATTCCTGTTACTCATTTAATCAAGTTGTAGCATGTAATTGTAGACTTTTCTATTATAAATAACATAATATACATCTATTATGAATAACACAAAATAAATATAACGACCTATGACGACGCATCGGAACGTACCAATGCTTATGTAAAACTAGAATACTACCAATACGAGATAATTATGCAAATATGAAATTTCCCCCAAAAAAAACTAGTGTTGCGCTGGTTACACTAGGTAATTCGAATCTCGTGTTATACAAGGGCAAGTGATTGTTCGCAAAAAGTCGAACTTTAGTTCCGGCTGATTTGATCTCAGTTATTATTCATGCTAATGTAGCATGTGAATCGTATTACAATTTATCGATTAAAAATTTCTGGATTACAGAAAGAATAGCATATTTAGGATAATTGAATGATTGAATTTTTCGAAAATATTAATCAACATTTTGTTTAATACACAGTATATATTAGCTGTTGTAGATAAATTCAGAAGGACGAATACAATTTCGATGACGCGTATTGCACCAAAATTTAATCATTCTATTTGTTCCGATATTAATTATACGCTTCTTAAGTTATAAATGTTAAACTAATCGCTTTAATAGTTTTCAAGCCATGCGAATGACCAATAACTTATTTCATCTTCATTCCAATTTTAGCTTTCTATCAGATAAGCCTGTAAGATTAGTAAACATTCCGATATTTTTCCAAGCTCTGAACAGATGCGTTCGAAGTTAGAAAATAAAGAAATAATTCTGTAATTATTACAAATCAATATGCATTTCGTACAAAACAGCTTTCAATCGTTTGCTAGTTTGCCTAGGAAATAGCAACTCGATACTTTCATTGTGCACAAAATTAACAGTATTTTTTACTATTACGTGAAACCAGCACTATCAGGGTATCAAGACAAACCAGCGATGTTATCCTATACGTTATTTTCGATCTATTGAAGTTCACGCGTCACCATAGGTGCGACTTCCTACGTTCATTGTAAACAAGGACACCGCATTTTAAAAAGGGGTTCGCCACGCGGAGCGGTACGAGTCGAGTAAGACTCAATAGGATAAAAGATACCGAGGTCGGAATGTTAGTGGGACACGCCCACGAAGGTGGCGTAATTTGATGCATTAGGCTGTACTTGCGTGTGGGATGCATTCGATACATTCACACATCACTTCATTTCACATCCACGCCACGCAGAAATTAGCCTCCCATTGTGTCTGTGACGTATTACAACAATATCATCTACTCAGTCTTTGTGTACTCGGTTAATTGGTCCTTGGGCTGTTCAAGCTGCGGTTGCTCGAAGAAATTAATTGGTCGTTACAGGAAAAAGAGAGAGATCAAGATTTTTTCTAGTCATTTTATACTTAATTAAAGTTGATGCCTGAATGACGTCGAACAACTTAACCGTAATAATCTACTCTCGATAATAATTTTATTTTATGTACTGCATAAACGTAATCAGTTCACAGAGAATTGATAACAATATGGTAAACGTTGGTAATGAATAGTAGAAACAAGAGACTTGTTCCTTTGGAAGATTGTACTTTTTGGAAAATTTTCCGACTGCCATATTCCTGTTACTCATTTAATCAAGTTGTAGCA